CTTCATACATGCATGTACTTTTCACGCCTAGGAGAGGCAAAACATGACACTGACACAGTATCGTCCAGTAGACTGATGGGTCTTTTACATGCTTTGTAAATGTAAGTAAGTGTAAGTGTATGTAAGACCCATCAGACTGGGCTGTTTCTGAGCAGTTTTACCAGAAATTGGAAGGACATTTGGGGAATACAGAGGCAATTTTATATGCTATAACAAAATCAGAAAATACATCTATAATGTAGTGTATGTGTCTATAATGAATTCAGTTAGAAGAGGGAGCTTAGTTTGAACTATAAACAAAATGTCAAGGCTGTAAACTATTCAAACTATTTTTATTGTGTTTTTTTGCATTTGCAGTTTTCCTCACTTTCTTCAGTCATTATCGCCCACTGTGTTTGTTTCTCTTGCTCACAGCTCCGCTCAAAACCTTTATGAAAATGTGCCTCCAGGAATTTGACCAAGCAGCATACAGGAACGTGACTGCATTTTATTAAACACGGTAAAGAAAGTGAACCTCAAAGCTACGAGAAAGAGAGAAAAACAATACTGAGCCAGCAGCAGCAGCAGCTATAAAACTTCCATTATTGAAGAATGGAAAATGTCAAAGTTTGTAAGCTCTGAGGCTGTAAAATTGCTTGTCAAAAACACAGCTGGCTTCAAATGTGAGTGCACCTATCTGGTCTAATCCTTCCTGGAACTCTGCAAACCTCCATGTAAAGAAGGTCCAAAGACTAAAAACACAACATTTCACTCAGACAATCCCCAAAGTGCTACACAGTGCTGCCTTGTTTCTACTCACTGCTTTAGAAAACTCTGTATACCTTGGTCCTCTTTGTGTCTATGTGCATGACATTTATGTGTTTGACCCTTATTTGAACCGCCTGTACCTACAGTCTTCGCACAAAAACCTGTGAACGTCAGACATCTGTGAACGTAGAGTGAATATATCACCTTTTGCTTTTCAGACTAATCCTCTGTATCTGTTTCCTGCTGTGCAATTACCAAGTTTCCCTTCAGGCATCAATTTAGTTCATCTCATCTTTATTTATTAATTCTGTAATCAATGTGCAAGCCTCAAAAGCCAACTCTGTGCTGCTGCGTGTCTAGCCATATTTAGGTCAGAAAACAGTGAAAAGGGTTCTTCACAAGATCCCAGAGCTTAGGGTGACGTCTTCAAATTACTTGTTTTGTCCGAGCAACAGTCCAAAACCTTAAAATATTAACAATTGTATCAAAAAGTGAAAAGCAGCTAATCCATTCCAAGCTGGAATCCATTTTTGAATCAGGCCTTTAATGAATTGTTTTTAAGTTCAGTTCAGATAAATGTCATTATTAAAATTTATAAAAACTTCTCCATAAGGTACCTTTTAAAGGTTCGATATGAAATTTGCTTGCTACTAGATGTCACACTAGAGCGTCTGCATCTCAGATCAAAACAAAGGGCAATGTGATCAACCAGACAAAACAAGTAATTTTACGTTTGAGATAATCATAAAACTCACTTCAAACTGGACAGAAACCAACATCAACCTTACAATTGAGCCCACCTCACGAGATCATAAAATCCCAAGATCATGCATGAATCCATCTGTGCATGAATGCCAGGCTTCAATCTATGGACTTGTGTTCAAACCCCAGTGGTTTAGACCAATCAGCAGAATTACGGCATGAGCTACAGGTGTGGTTTAACGCTAAGTTTAAGTGAGAAGCTGATCAAAAACAACAATGAGGTTAGTGTAGATGCTGCCAGCATTAGTTGTATCAGAAGTGTTTTCTTAATGGAAAATATGTTTTTCCCCTTCTCACAACTGAGTTTGAATACTTTCTATGACTTGTTGATAGACTGATGGTTCATCCAGTCACCTGCCAAGTATTTTAATTTCCAAACAGTTTCCAATGACCGCTTTGCACTTTGTTGCACAGAACCTTGGAATCTGCAGTCAGGGTTAGTTTCTCCTATCTGCAAACTAAACTAAATCCTACACAGAGTCACAATCACACACAGTCCCTTCACATATGCATCTCTTCAAAGGCTGCATAATGTGAAACACATGTCAGCAGTCTGTCCAGTAGCTGTAAGAAAAGCTCCCAAGTGCAAAACACCCACCTGTCAGGTATTAAAACAGCAGATCTTTGATTGTTGGTTGGTCAGTTCCATTTGGAGCTGAATTGTTGAAACTTTTATAAAAGTTGGAGTCTAACAAGTGTCGTATCGTGTCTTTTATCGGGTCACATTTATTTTTTTTTTTGTGATAATTTTTTTATTGGCACCATTTATATCATTCAGACATACAGAATAAATTCCACAATGTATAATAGTTGTGTCAAATGGTGTAAAAAAAAAAAAAAAACACAAAAACCATCTCCCACCCCCTACCCTCTGCGGCCACTGAGGTCATTAGGTCTGATATTTGTGTTGCTGCGGTTTTCCATAGGTTAATAGTTGATGATTTGGCTTTATTAATCCTTGCTGTAGAGAGCTTGAGCATCACTATGTCTAGAAAATACGCTAACCACTGTTTTATGCAAAGCGAGTGAGGAGGGAGCCAACGTTGAGCTATCATTTTCTTGGTTGCAGTTGAGCCGGCTAGCCAAATTTTCCTCTGTCTCTCAAGCAGATGTAATGTAGAATCATCATTAAGCAACAAAACAATTGGGTCAGTAGGAATTAGACTTCCTATCACATCAGATATTATTGATGTTGTTTTATGCCAGAACTCATGCACCTGTTCACATTCCCAGATCATGTGCAGGTAAGTTCCAGTTTGTTCAGGTCGACAGAAGGTACAATAGGGAGTGGGAGTGGCTTTAGAGACGTATCTCTTCTGAGGAGTCCAATATGTCCTATGACATATGTTGAAGTGGATATACTGGTGATTTGGATTCTTGGAACAGTGGAAAATGTTGTCCCAAACCGCATCCCAATTAATTGTGTTCCCCTCAAGGCTCAGCTCTCGCTCCCATTTCTTTAATATTGGGAGTTCTCCTATGGATACTTGCATTAATTTAGCATAAATCATGGATACTAGTCCTCTCACAGGGAAATCAAGAAACCACTTAATGACTGGGTGTGCCTCAAGACCACTTCCCCATAGTACTCCATAACACTTTAGGGCTGATCTTAAACAAAGGTAAAAGTAAAAGGATGTCCTGGGGACCTCAAAACTAGCTCTCAGGTCTTCAAAACTCAACATACCTTTCTCATTGAATAACTGATCTAGAGTATAAATACCTCTGTCACTCCAATGCTTACAAGTAAAAGGTTTGTTACCAGACAGTAAGTGTGTATTGTGCCATAATGGGGTATTCAGATGCCACTTATTGGTGTAGCGCAGGTGCTCCTCCACCTGTTTAAAGTTGGCCAGTGTGTTGGTGATAATAGGACCATAGGTTAGCATACACTTTTTTGGACAAACCCCAGCAAATGCAAGGTCTTGCAGTCTTAGACTTCCAATGAGGTTTTGCTCTATTTCTCTCCATGGAACTGTAGATGAGGGGTCCATCCACACTCTGAGGGCCCGTAGCTGAAAGGCCTTGTGATACATTTTAAAGTTGGGGAGAGCCAGGCCCCCAGTGTTTGTGGTACGTTGCAGTGTGGAGTATTTTAGCCTGGGTTGTTTATTATTCCAAATATACTGCCTAATTAAAGTATTGAGTTTCTTCCAAAACTGCATTGGTGGGGGCAAGGGGATCATTGTACTTAAGAAATTCACACGGGGAACTATGTTCATTTTAACAACAGCAATCCTAGACCGTAACGATGCGGAAGCCAGATCACTTGAACATTACTTAGTGTAGTTTCATAGTTGTCCTGGACAACTCGCTGTAGTGACGTGTGTATGACGACGCCCAAATATGTAATTTTGCTTTGGATTGGTATTGTACCCCTAATATTTGATGTCACATGCCTGTTGTTCAATAAAAGAAGATTAGATTTATTCCAGTTAATTTTATAGCCGGAGATCGGGTCACAATTTAACAGGAATGAGTTCAAGTCACATCTGTTTATACGGTCAAGTTATTATGTTTATATAATCTCACAACCCAGACTTCAGCCTGTCAGCAATAACTTCTGGGCTAATTGTTGCGTAACGAGTTCAAGGATGGCCTGCAACACTTTGACAGGAAGATTTTCCTGACTGACAGTTTCCTGGTGGTGTTGTGAAAACCACTGCACTCGTGTCACTCTGACTGACACTGCACACAATGAGCAGCAATGAGTAGAGCCTCCTGAACAGAGCGGATATGCATCAGATCAACCTGAGAATATGATTACAACCGCAACTAGATGTCCACAGCTGTCGTTGTTCCTGAGCAGAGGACCTCCAAGGGGAGTGTTTTAAGTCACCTGAAGGTCCTGTTTAATAGGAATAGCTGAATATCAGTGTACAGGGGGTTCAAAAACTAAAAATGTGTCAGTTATAGTTCATTTTAACAGTTGACAGGAAATGTTTTTTATACGTACAAATGCACAGAAAAGTTGACATTTTTCAAAGAAATGATTGCACATTCTCCTCCATGCATCACAGCTCTGTTAGCGCAAGCAAATGTACACATATTTCCAGGACAAACACCCAGAGGTCATTGTTTCCAATCTCAAGTCTTTGCACTCAAGTCCCAAGTCTTAAACTTTGAGTTTCGAGTGATAAACAAGTCGTAATGTATTCTTCACTAAATGTAAGTCCATTCTAACGACAAAATGAAAGAAAAAATATCTTTGGTATAATTTTATTCCAACTGATGCTCACTAACGTATTGTTAGTTCTCTCCTGCAAATTGATTGGATGATGTCGGATTAGAACATAAGTCTAGTGTTCATAGACATGTTAATGTGCAAATATGAGATATTATAGCTTTAACATTGGGGGACGTTATCAAGTATTTTGGAGCCAAAAGGCTTAAGTCCAAGTGAAATCTTGAGTCTAAAGTCATCAAACCTCATACACACAGACACACATACAGACAAAGACATACATTAGTAGGGTGTTAGCAGCACTCACCACTAGTTGGCGCAGCAGTAGTTAAATGAATGCAATGAGGGTAGCAGACTGTGAAGAGAAGGACAGATTAGTGGACATCAAAACATCTTTATAGACGTCACATTGATAAGAGCTCAATTAGTCAATAAAGCAATCAATTAATAATGGCTGCAAAATGGGAGGGTGGTTAATTAGACATAATGACAAAAAAACAAGCAGCTGAAGTCTTAGATCAAATTACAACAAGTAAAGGTCAAGCTGTCAATTAACAATAGGCAGAACATAAGCAATCAGTCATTCATGTAATTATGGGTTGAACATGGTGGGTCGGTCATCAGCCAGACCATTGCAAGACATAGGTTGTTTGAAGGTCCAGAGACAGACAGATTCCACAGAAACACATCAACGTATGCACTGAGCAGATATAAATGATGATGAGTTTAACCTTGTGTATTCAGAATGTCAGCATGTCACATACAATATGAAACAGCACATGAAAGGGGAACCAACTGGAAAATCTGAATCTTTCTCTACAATGTGGGTCTTATTTGATCATTTTGGCCATTAATGGTATTGGTATGTATACTAACAGTATTGTATATTAAATATTTGGTCTCTATAAGCAGATTGCAACTGATTGATTGGAATGTAGTTAATTTTAATAATGACCAGAACTCATTTGAAAATACTAAGTCTATAAATGTATACTTTACAAACATTTACTTACATGCACCTGTGTGCACACCATCAGAGAACCAAATTATACTCAAACCAAACTTTTCAAAGCCTCCCACTTCATGTTTTATCTTATTTCCGTCATGTCATTTTGTTTGCACGATCAAATCAAACTTCCTGTATTTCAGTAGCGCTGGTTTACACTGTGTCTCTCTCAGTGTGGATCACAGCAGATAACATGACAGGAGCAAGAAAAGATAAAGAAAACCCTCGACTGTGTGTGTGTGTGTGTGTGTGTGTGTGTGTGTGTGTGTGTGTGTGTGTGTGTGTGTGTGTGTGTGAGTCAGGAAACTTGGTGCAGAATCATGCATTTCTTGAAAACCGCTGAAGGTCTCTGAGGCATACAAGCATGCGCTTAAACACACACAGACACACACACACACACACAGAGAGAGAGAGAGAGAGAGAGGCCTGTTCTCCAGTGGGTACAGAATTGGCAGGAATTTCACTGAAACCACTGTGGCTAACCTCCTGCGGCTACACACTCATTTACAGCGTTTTAAATAAGAGGTACAGTACTACTCTGTGGACACACACACACACATTGACATAGACACAGAGTGTACTCCTACACTTTCTTTCATGGTTAATACTTAAATATGGTGAGAAATATGGTTGATTATGTAAACTACTACTTCAGATTTGTGTCTGTGGCCATTTGTACCAGTGTGTGTGTGTGTGTGTGTGTGTGTGTGTATGTGTGTGTGTGTGTGTGTGTTTGTATAATGCATTTCATATGTTTAAATAAATGTAATAAACACTGTAAAAATCGTTGCAATAAATAAGCAATGTAACTGAATGTGATTTGATTTCCTTTTCAGCTCATAATACGTGTGTGTGTGTGTGTGTGTGTGTGTGTGTGTGTGTGTGTGTGTGTGTGTTTGCGTGCAGGAATTTGACCACTCGCAGTGTGTTTATCAGCCAGCTGGGTTTTTAGAACAGAGCAGGAATCAGGGAGATGATTGGTCAGCAGCCAAACTGGTTGCTAGAGTCAATTAACTTACCAGCCGCAGCCACAATGTACCAGAATTTGGCTGAAGTCTGGTTGTAATTTTCCACGCTGATAGCAAACAGACTGAAATATTTAGTGCTTTAAGTTCCTGCATGGTACAATACAGTGTGTGTGTGTGTGTGTGTGTGTGTGTGTGTGTGTGTGTGTGTGTTATTTTACATGATATCTCAGGTGATATCTCAGAACCACAAGAGTTTAGAAAAATCCGTTTGCCTAATGCCTTTTCTGAAATTTTGTGCTGATAAAGTACACTGTAAAAGTGCTGTTGGCGCTGCAGAGTGAATAATTTAGGACACATAATGAAGGATTTTGGTGATTTCCTGTGACAGGCAACAAATCACAGGTACTCTCTGGTGTCTCGGTGTGTGACTGAACAGTTTGGAGAGTTCAAACCCTAATAATGCAACATAAACACAATTTAGTGAACCAGGCAGGGAATGAAAATAAGAATATCCTTTCACAGCTTTGGATGCAAAAGGTCAGTATTATTATATTTCACGTCAAAATGCGTACTTTTATATTCGCACAGTGTGTTTCTGACCAACTCTGATAAAGAGTGCTGCAGGGATGATAGTCCAACCCAGAAGTAAGCATCTCTCTAGCTCTATTGTAGAACCCATTAGCTTAAAGTTAGCTTAAAGAATAACCCCAAGAAATCTGGTGTGAATTGACATTGAAACCTCAACCACACAGTTTATCCTTTATCTACACTTGATGTATCCCTCAGCATCGGATTATGAATTCAACCTCATCCCACGTCCGCTACTCCACTACTGTGATTATTTCCTGTACTCACTGCAGCTGAGCGTGGCGTCGGTCTGGGCCTGAGCGGACGGGATGGTCCAGTGGCTGTTGTCCCAGTCGATGACGTTCCCCACCGTGTCACAGCTCAACGCCTCGAGCTGCTGCACCGTCATGGCGTAATCCCACAGCCGCAGGTTGTAAATGTTCCCGTCGAAGCTCTGCTGCCCTGAACACAAACAGTCACACAGGCGCCACGTTACATATATGTGATGGAAATATTCTATTGTCTATCTTTTTAGTATCTCAGGTTTTTCAACAGTAATAAAGATGGACGGTGGAAGGTCTCCACTTCCTGCCATTGCACAATAAAGAAGCTAAAATACCCCAGATACTCTTGCTTCCACCTTGCCCTGTTTTTAATCTGTTTTATGTCTCTAAACCTGCAAATTGCCAATAAGTGATCACTGGGTGGTTGGTTGCAAGAAAAAACTTCTTGAGCACTAAATATCCTTTAACTTGGACTTAACATATCAGAGTCATTAATTTAAGTCCAAATGAAATGGTAAATACGTACCTCCTAACTGGAACTGTCCACCACCTGGCACAGTGTGCCCACTAGAGGTGGAGCAGGTCTTGGCCCAGTAGTTTCCATTGAAGTAGACTGCCACCCGGCCGTTTGCTGATGTCCAGAGAACGCAGAAAGGCTTCATGGTGGATGTGAAGTCAGTAGAGGAGAGGATGGTGTCGATAGGGCAGACCACCCCATCAACGATCATCTTCATGTCGCCTTGGTCAGAGCCCAAACTCAGTGCTACGTTGCTGCTTGTGTCGTAGTAGGTGAAGATCCACTCTTTCTGTTCAGTAAACAACAACAAGAGAACTGTTAATGAGTTTCAACTGCAACGTTTATGTCACTGGCATGTGTAGCAGTAAAACAAAAGCTGATTCAAAAATTGGAGTCCTAGATGACCACAAAAGTTAGAACAGTTTTGGTTATTTAATAAAGAAATTTGTGTGTTTCATATTTTTGTTTAAACTCTGTGGGCGGGGTCACATAGTTTAGCAGCATTTGCAATCAAAATGTGAGTTTTGGGGTTGTCTGCCAGACCACCACATTCGTGATTTTTTACTCTTTATATTAACTATATCTAAATATGTTTTTACAAACACCACTAGATGTCGCACTAGAGCACCAGTATCTCTGATTAGAACAAAGGGTGCTACAGCTGACCATATTGTATTTAAATGTATTAATATTATATAAATATTTGTGAAAATGGCTGCAATGTAAGATAACAATAATCCTTGCTATCCTTGGCACCAGACTTGATGGGAAAAAAATGGTAATTTTACCTCATATACCATCTATCAGTCAAATCTATCTGAATCCTGATTGGTTGATGGAAGTATGATGTTTTTCCGACATTGAGTCCCACCCACTTCAAACCGGTGAGAAGAGTTCAGAGAAACCCAAACAATACATGCTGTTTGCTGGAGAAATACTCCCTCTGTGTTGTGTACCTTTTTGTCGCTGTTGCGTTCCAACTCAAAGCACAGCGTCAGGTGACTGAGCGCTGGTATGGAAACAGAGTTGGAGACCTCAGTGGTCTGGCTATTGCCGTTGGATATGGTGACCTTCTGGTTCCTCAGGGCCACGGCAACTAGGAAGAAGACACAGAAGAAGACAAGAAAAAAGAAAAGGATGGAAGGAAGGACAGAAGGCAAGAAAAAAACGTACATGAGGCATGAAGGAGGGGAGGACAGGGCGACAGAAAAGGAAGCAAGAAAAGAATCAAGAAGTGTGAGCAAAAGAATAAGAAAAGAAAAAAGTTAAAGGGACACGAGAGAGAGGAATATAGAAGATGTGAAAGAATAAAAGAAGTATGGGTAAAGAAATAAAGAAGATGAAAGTAATGAAGGCCAATATGAGGAAAAGAAGCAACAAAGGAGTGAAGGAGAGTGAAGGAAGAAAGAATAAAAAGCAGAAAGAGTAAAAAAGGAAATTGGGAAAAGCATTAAAAGAAAAAAAAGAAAAGGAATAAAAGAGGTTGATTAGAAGGAGAAAGCAATGAAAGTAAGGAGCGAAAGGAATGAATAAAAAAGAGGAATGGACAATGAACAACAGGAACAAAACAAAAGCAAACAAGAAGGAAAGTAAGTCAGACAGAAGTGAAAATACACATGAAAGAAAATTAAAATCCTTTCATCCATCTGTATTTCAACTAATCATCTCATTCTTTGAACCTTTTTGATAAAAATTTGACTGATAAAAGTTTGAGGCACTCACTGATAAATACACCCCATGAAAAGCATTTTACATTTTCCTGAACACACACCTCATTAGTATTATCACAGTATTGATGAATCAGAGGATTTTTTTATTTTCCCAGAAGGGGAACTACTCTTGCTGGAGCCGCTGGCCGAGAGCAAAGCACCAACAGCCAGTGGAAAAACACCACTCACACAAATACCCAATGCAAATGTGCACGGAGGCACCAAAACACCACAATAAACAGTGCCGTCAGGACCTTCGGTGGGTCGATACCATGACCCCTCACTGTCTGCGATGTAGAAACCACCAACAGCTCTGTGGTTTCAGACTTCAATTAAAGTTTAAGATGAACTGATTCTTTTTGGCTGCAGACGCTCCACGACAAACTCAGAACACAAACCTCTGACTCCTCAATAGACCTTTCTCACAGTAGCCATTTTGACATGGATTAGTAGGGTAAACACAGGAGTTACCAATGATACTAACTAAGGTTCTTTTACATTGAGGTCAAACAGAGTCTATTGTGCATGTTGGCTCACTGGAAAAGACTCGCTATGGACTCTAAATGGAACTGAACCTTAATTTGTATCATTGGTAACACCTGTGTTTACCCTACTATTTCCTATGCAAATGGTTGCTGTGAAAAAGGTCTATTCAGAGTGCAGTTGGAAGTTTGTTAGAACTCCCAAGAACCCAGCTTCTGAGACAAAACTGTCTCTTAGATTTCCACCATGTTGCAATGTGACTCAACAGATATCATCACTGTAATGAATGTTCACAATGAAAGTATATCTAATATACATCACACTGCCTCTGTCTTCTTTTATAAAATCGTTACTTTAAACTCAATTAAAAACATGAGGCTTAACTTTACCTTCAGACAAGCTAATGTGGCAGCAACAAATAGATAGATGAATACATTTTTAAATAGAAAATATTAGATTTCAAATACTACAAATGTGTTGGGTTCGGAGACTTCAGAGCCAGCAAAAAATCACTGAAAGGCGGCTGAGATGAGATCTTTCTTACTGGTATGACCATGGACGTTGACGGGCTAGAAGCTCATTAGTTTAGCCGTAGAGAGGTTTCAGGATGAAGGGCCACATATGAACTCGTTTTTAGATGCAATGGATTCACTTTTTTATAAGTATGATGATATATGTTCAAAGGTGCAGTGCTATTTGTGTCTAGGATTTATCAGCATGTAGCGTCAGTATCTGATGACCTGGGATGAGAACTGGCAGTGAAGTGCATCTGTAGATATAAATGGCTCATTCTAACTAAAACTCAACTCAACTAAAGCTGGCCGCTATGATCGAGGCTAGGCTATGCTAACGTAGCTAAGCTAGCTTTCATTTTCTGCAGACATTGTGGAGGCAGCACAAGCTGGCCAAGTACAAGGCTGCATTTGTGATGTTTCTTTGCATCATAAATAAAGAAACTGTCAGAAGAGTGAACGAATGAAAGGATGTTCTGCTGCCTTTTCATTTTTTAATTGTGCTGATCAACTACCGGCAACTTTTAAGGTGGAATGTTTGCCTCAATCAGTGCGTGTGTTGACGTCAATCGACACACCTTAAATGTCATTATGACAACTCTGACCACTGCATTTGTTTTTATTGGCTCTTGCATATATTACCTTTAAAAACATGTATATGAATTTAAACTGCAAATATTCTCTTTCCTCAACTGAAATAAAACAAAAAGTGCCAGAACGTCTTTCCAGTGCGCTCCGGCAGCCCTACACATATAGTTATGATGATATATTATGATTTTACATGACAAATTGCAGGTAAATTAAAGTTAACAAAAGGAGACTTCTGTCATATTACTCGAGCACATACTGGGAGGCTCCGTTACACCTGCCTCATAAGTGATAGGTGATCACAGGACCAGCACTTTCCTTATGTTGGCTTTATTTTAAATTAAGAGCTAAGATTAACAAACCAATTTTAAAACTGGATTCAATGATGGAATTAACCGGATAATTTTTAGCCTGAGAACAGTGTGCTAGTCTGGATTAACTGAGCTACATTTGAACAAGATGCTGGTGTCAGCCTGAACCTACCGTGTCGGAAGCTAACACTGAACCCCCTCTTCTGCACACTGAAGTCGGAGGTAAAGGACAGCTCCATCACATTCCCTGTTGAGTTCAGCGTCAGCCCGTTGGCCGTCGGGCCGCAGAACTTAACGTCCGTGTTTCCTGTGTTCACCACAACCCGGTCGTAGATGCAGCCCGGCGCCTCCTCTAGGTCAAAGTCAAGGAAGGAGAGCTGGATGATGAAGCCAGCGGGGGCCTGCATGGTCCACTTACAGGCCTGCGAATTGGGGTATTTCAGGGGGTAGCAGGGCGACATGAATTCCCCCTGGGCCTCCATCAGCAGCATGTTACAGTTCGTGGTGGTACAGCCCAGCACTGAAGGTGATTGTAGGAGGATAAATTTGTGAACTTTCAAATAGAGACAACCTCCACTGAAACTGTTAAGGTAGGGTAATATCACTCAGAAGACAAGATGCTTGTAGACGAGGACATGAGGCGACAGAACAAGGGAAGACAAGAGGATAGGACCCATAAAAAGGGTAGGAGACAGATATAAGGAGGCAAACACCTACTATTATTAGAAATCAGGAGGCAAGTGGGTAGAGTTCAAGGACACATTCGAGTGGGCTGTAAAGGTCATCCTTGTTGATTACCAAAGAGTCAAGGGCAAAGAGGACGAAGACAAAGCTTTTCAAGAAGGTTACAAGGACCTTTAGGATTCAGGAGACAACATCAAGACCTTTTTCTAATGGGAAAGGATTAGAGGACACAAGAAGATTACCTAAGATATTGAGGAATCAGACGAAAACAAAGACGGGGTGGGACAAGACAAGTCGTGCAGTAGGCTAAAGGTTCAGCAGCCCGGAGAGGAGTCAATCACTCAATCAATCAACTGAGAGCAGATTGATTCATTAAAACAGAAGTGGATTGAAAATGTTCACTTCCACTGAGTCAGAAGTCCACAATCATCAGACAAAGTTTTAGGTTTTATGAAATATCAACTGTAGGACTAGAAAAACATGCACATGCAGAGTAATCTCGCCAGTTAGATCAGGAAAAAGTCACCTTTTTCAGCAAAGATTGAGCAGTCAGAGTGGCTGTATTATTACAAATTGAGAAAATTGATAGAATCACCTAACTGCAGATTTCAGTCCAGTGAGAGCTGCTGTGTTCAAACAATCCTCCAAAACTGAAGTTGTGTGATGTAATAATTCACATGTATTGTGAACTGCAAACCACAAAATGTGCAATGGAGGTACAGCCAGTGCACTGTGTACCTCAGACTGCATGTATGGGGTCATATTGTCCTTTTTATTTATTTATTGTATTTTTCTTTGCTGATGCTACAGCTGAGACTTAACACTGAACCTGAAACCTCATGTCAATGTGGTGTTTAAGATTCTCTTGCTGTGAGTTGTTGGGTGATGCCAGATCAAAGAGAAAGAGATACACGTGGAGCCTTGGCAGCTCCGCAGTAAACCTTTTTCTACAAACAAACATAAAACACACGAGAGGTCGGTTTGTGAGAGAGAACTGAATGCCGCTGATCGATCTGGAATTGTTTATGATCGCTCACCCGAAACATGAAACACGTTGGCCTTCATCGTTTTCAATAACAGCTGGAAAGATGAGCCATCCCTCACAAAAAATAATAACAGACAAGAGCTGAAATGGAAAGTGGAAAGAATGGTTCGCCTCTCTCGCTCGGGGTAACAATGGCCTCCGTTGATCTCGGGCAAGGCCTTCGCCACAGCCAAAACCACAGCCAACGCACTGGAAACGTCAGAAACACCAGTATGTGTGTGTTTTAACCCTTACTTATCCATTAAACGCTGGCTGGTGTTACATTTGTCTGCAAAATCTTGCTTCACATTCATCTACTTCCCCACATTCAGAGCCTCACCGCAGCCACTGAAGGCTCACCGCCGCCTTGCTCGTGGGAATTTAAGGAGGAAACTGTACTTCAGACTCTTTCCCCCACATCTCACCAACAAGCCTGTCAGTTTCACTTTAAAATCCAAAAGGCATTTTTTATTACTGTGTAAGCCATGTTAATATCATAGCATTTTATGTTTTTCAGACTTCTGTGATGCTTCCTAAAACATAAACTCACGAGCTAAATGGTTCACTCTCAGAGACTGAGGACGAACTTTTGTTGCTACAAACTGTGTGGAAACAATTAGAGTGAGGGTGCTCTGATCAGAGCGGATCACTACGTCTATTTGAAGCTATCTGCTGATCATGTTATGTGTTCCTCTTTCTTATGTTGTGAATTATGTTGTGACCGCTCAGTCTGTAAGGGCCGATCAACTGCTCCCAAACAGCCATTGGAAGTTCGGATGAATTTCTGACATGTCAGAAGTTTTGGTCGGCCAATGTCAGAGCCAAGAGTCAATTCCTTAAAGTCTGTGCCTTTTTTTCCCACTGCACCTGGGTGAAGTGGCGATCGGAGCGTCTGAAGGTGCCGGGGCGACACGGCGAATCATGTGGATGGAAAATATGGAGGCTGGTCAAGCTGTGGCAACAGCATGCGTGCCTCTTTGATGTTCCTATTACAACCAGTATGAACGAGATTGCGTGTCTAACATTTCTAAAATCGTACAGTGTATGCCCAGCTTTAGTAAGTTAAAACAAAGTTTAGGAACAAAAGAGCACAGAACTGAAAGGTCGACAGTCTGAAACAAAACTGAGCTACACGAACGCGACGCTTCCTGTTCTGAGAGCAAGAGTCACACACTATATAACATACTGTGTGTGTTTGCGTGTGAGCGAGAGAGACTCAACTAAACCTTCTTCTGCCATTAAAGCTGTTCAGCATGAAATTTCAGGAACATTTGGACGCAACATCAAAAAACACCAAACTCCTTTTTCCCACTAATGGAAAAACTAGAAGCAGCCGCAGGATTCACATACCGAGCTCTCTCTCCCCTTTCTCTCTCTCTCTCTTTCCTAGCACTGTACACACACACACACACACACACACACATACACACAGAAACAAAGCTACTTACTCTACAAGCTGAATGAAATCAGTCGATCAGGAGAGCTGGAGGAGTAGACCAAGAAAAGTCTACACTCCCAAAGAGAGAGGGGGGGGGACACAGTGTGTCTCAGTGTGTGTGTGTGTGTGTGTGTGTTTGGAAGCCATACAATTCACACACAAACACCCCCCCTTAAAAGCTTAAAAGCCGACTCTCAAGTTTCTGGCAGCACAACCTCACGTTTCCCTTTATCCTCTCATCTCCACTCCGGCTCTGGAAGCTGCGAACCCTCGGCCCGCCGGATCAGCCGAAGCAAACAGAAGTGACGGTTGGATTGTCCGCGGGAAACGTGGAGGAGAGTCGGTCTGATGTTCGTCTCATCAGTTAGCGTTACAGTTAGCATTGTCGGACTGATGGAGAATCAGAATCGATGCAGCAGAACCAGAGATAGTCTTTTTTTATTCCACACATTAAACCTATCTCCTACATTACCCACAATGCCACGCGACTTGATTCACTCGACTGTGCATATTCAGGTGTTCAGAGGTCTCACTTCTTTCTTACCCCACAGCAACAGATGTGCAGTTACCATTCATCCACTACAGCACTGTTTCTTTAGCATTATACAGTAAAAGAAAATCAGTGCTTTGCAATGCAAATGTTTTTCTCTCGGTTCCTCGTACACATCAGACAGCTGAAGATTTTCTCCTGAGGCCGGAACACAAACTGCAGCTAGCTCGGAACAAAAATAATCTTAGAAAGAACACGAGAATAAACGTAAATACAGTATCGCTTCTCAATGAAAGATTCAGCCTTTACAGTAAAATCAGTTTACTGCTTCTTGTTCATGTTGATGCTCCGATCTGCTGCAGATAACTGATATTTTTAGCTTCATGTATGATATGATGTATATGAAATGCACATGCCACTAGATGTCACACAAGAGCCCCAGCGTTTTAGACCAGCGGCTAATGTAGCAGCGACAGAGGTCTGGGGAGATTTGTTTCATTTTCAACTGACGCTGACTCAAGTGACATCACTTGAGGACATTAATCAGATGTCACACAGCGCCCTCTGGAGACTATAAAGCAGGGCTCTACAACATATTACTCAAGGTTCAGTGTAATCATTTTATTTTTATTTATTTAAGGTCAGAGGTCTGGAACGTTATCGTTAAAAAAAAAGGATTTAATCACCGACATTCACAATAGTTGTAGAATTTGTGAACTAGAGTGTTTTTTTTAACTTTTTTACAGCATACCACCACAGAAAATATCAGGCTGTCGGAGTGCGATAATTATGACCTAAATACAGCCGCGTAGGCCGACCCTATGGTCCACACTCCTCTCCCCAATAGTTCCTGTTTGGAGCCACGATTGTTTTTAACTCATTTTGACTGCTCACTTTCTTACCGTCACATTAGCTCCTCACTAATCACAGATGTATGCCTGTGCTACGTGCATTAATGTGACTGATACTGAAACAAGAAAGCAAAACTTTAAGGACTTTTGTTCTAAATTTTGTTATATTTTGATAATATTGTATGTTTTTAAATACATTTAGTTCTGATCTGGAGCTGAAAGCAGATTCTCCTCTACGTTAACGCGTGAACTCGGCAGAAACAACACACTTTCTCTTTCCAACGGATAACGTCGCCATGACAACAAAGTCAACAATGTGGAAGCCTCATTAAAACCTCATTCACACACTCTCACTCTCACACACTCTCACTCTCACACACTCACACTCACTCACACACTCACACACACACACACACACACACACACACACACACACACACACACACACACACACACACACACACACACACACACACACACACACACACACACACACACACACACACACCGGTGGCTGTATCATGCAGGGACAGACACATATGTGTCTGTCTTTCTTTGTCATGGTCGCCCAAAAATAAACTCACATTTTAGATTTTGGTGAGCCGTGGTGTTATTATAAAGCCACTTTTACTAATAATTTTAAGTGACACAAACTTAGTTTTGTAAGTTACAGAAACATTCCTGATTAATAACTTTTTAGTGTTTTGTTTTCACGGTACAAAAACATTACAAAATGAAGCCAGTGTCACTCAAAATAACTAAAGCTATGTAATCAAGAATGTTTTTTTATCTTACAAAATGTTGTTTTACTTAACTTACTTTACTTAACTTATCTGGTTTTACAGTGTGCGGTGTCAGTAGCCCAACCGTACGTGTTGGCTCACAACCCATCATGTTGTTAGAAAGCGTAATACTTCATAGTGTATTCAGAACATGGGGTATAGGGTCCAGATTCACTTATAAAAGCTTACTACTACTACTACTACTATCACATAGGCATAGAACACCTGGAAATCACCTTATAGAGGAGAGA